TTGTCAAATGCCTTTTCTGCATCTATTGAGATGATCATATGGTTTTTGTCCTTGACTCTGTTAATATAGTGTATTACATTTATTGATTTACATATGAGCAACATACTTTTAATTCTGACAATAAAATAAACTTAAGACAACAGACTGCTTAGAGGCAGCCCTGCAAATGATGCCTAAGCAGTAACGAAGGTCCTACTGTCCTCCATCAAGTGCCATCAATGTGATTTGCAAGACAATCACACAGAATAGTCGAAAAATTCAATGTCTTAAAAGCTCTACAGTTAACAGAAATGGGAAAAAAATCCTACTAAATATGGTCTAGAAAGACAACTGTAGTCACCTAGATCTTTCTGAAGTTTAGCAGATTGTACCAGTGTCAATTTATATCTGCAGTTGTAACAACTATTGCCATTTTAAAAACCAAAGTCAGTTTCTATTGTATTCCAAACATTCCATTACAAAGAAAAAGATCTGTTCAACTAAGTTTTTCATCGACTGTCAAGTGTTTTAAAATGAATTTGATATTTGTTTTTTATACGGTGGCAAAATTTCATATTTATTTATTTTTAAATTTTATTTTATTTTCTGTCCTGGGGATCGAACTCAGGTCCTTGTGCTTGTGAGGCAGGCGGCGGAACCACTGAGCTAAATCCCCAGCCCGAAATTTCGTATTTATTAAAGATAGGAAAAAGCAGAAGAGTAAGGGAAAAATGGGCTCTGCAGAGCAAGTCTGGGCTGAGTAAAAGGGAAGAAAATATAAAAATAAAAAATACACACTAGAGTGCAGGCATGATAGCCTAATTTGATATGTTAAGCCAATTAATTAAGCTAAAAATTCCCACCAACCAGGCATATTAACTCTTGTCTGTAATCCCAGCACTCTGGGAGGCTGAGGCAGAAAGATTGCAAGTTTGGGCCCAGTCTGGGGAACTCAGCAAGATCCTGTCTCAAAATAAATAAAAAAGGACTGAGGAGTTGCTCTGTGCAAAAGCCCTGGCTTCCAGTCCCAATACTAAAAAAAAAAAAAAAAAAAAAAAAAAGCAAGAAAGAAAATGCAATGTGTTTTAGAACTGTATTACCACACATTTTTGTGGCCTTGAGAATGCAAACTTAGGGCCGGGGATGTAGCTCAGTGGCTCTGTGCCTGTCTGGCAAGTGCGAGATCCTGAGTTCAATCCAAAAAAAACCCCCAAAAGAATCTTTAACAGAATGCTAACTTATACAAAGGTAAACACACACACACAAAATTTTTTTAACACAAAAAATTTGACCCATATTTGGGTACCCTGAGAGAGAGTAATCATTTTAAACTACATGTATACCTAAGGATAGCAAAGCTTTCTTTAGATACAATGCTTGCCATTTTCCAATTTCAAATGTTATCTCATTTATTATGCTCTAGGAACCAGGGTGGCTGTTATTCAAATGAGGAATATTTTATCACACAAGAGATTTCAGGGAAATGAGATCTGTATAAGATGTGCAACCTAAAATTCTAAAGTTTTAGTATTTGGAATCAGATTACTATTTTTTTTTTTTGGTACTGGGGATTGAACTTGGTACCTTCTGCTTGTGAGCCA